GTTATGCCTAGAGAAGGAAAGGACACCCGCAGCTCAGCAGACCCAAAATCAGCGAGAGAGAGATTAGGAGGGAAATGGCTGAAGTAGACCAGTATGAGTGTGATAGGACACCCCGACTGGCGAAGTAAATGTTGCATAATCGATTTCTCTGATTGTTCCACATGACTAGTGAGGATTGCAGGACAACCGTTCTGTTGTGCATTGATGTTATCTCTTTCTCCCTACATTACTGTCGGAGGTTGTGGGTTCTATGCCGGGGTTTTTTTCCCCCTCCATTACTATTGGAGATCGTGGGTTAATAGGGTGAGGAATTTTATTCTACTTTTCAATTTTTCTTTATTTTCATATGTAACTAACCTCGCCATAGCCCATAGGGCAGCATGCGGGTTATGATTGATATTAAACAAAAAAATAGAGGAGCAGTTTCACATCCTTCAGGGAACAGGATGGAACAATTTCGGATACCGCATTAGGAACATCCTATTGTCCACATACATCTTGTCAGTAAGGATTGAGCTTAGTAAATGAAACATCACCCAAAGGGGTGCTTGTAACTACATAGATACAAAGTATGTTAAGCAGGTTCCTCATTGACTTACTTCTGCTTAGTACTAAGCACATCTTCATCTTCCGTAACCCAAACGCAAATCGACCCCCTTTGAGTCTATGCTTGTTTGAAATTACTACAGTACAGTCCACATCCCAGCCAGGTTTCTATCCACGAGCTGAAGCTTGATCACGAGAAGCTGAAGTAAGGTACCTTTCTGGGACGGAACGAGCACAGTCGAGAAAGCAAATAGAGGTTGATAGGGGCAGGCTGTCATGGTTGGGGGGCGGAATAAAATCGGGCTCAACATACCCTCAATGTCGTCCATATCGCCCGGCTTAACTCCGTCAATACGCCAGGTTTAGGGTAACCGGAAAGTAACCAACAATTTGGAAAGGATGCTATCACCGTATAGCAAGGGTGACCGAGGCCATTATCTGCTTCCACAACCGGTTTAACGGGGGTCATAGTCTCACCTCTTTGTGCCTGATCTGTGAAAAGAAGAACGTTTCCAGCGAGTTATGTTGAAAAGATTCTTAATGCCTCTTACAGTTCATGCAGGGGCACTGTACAGAAGGGTTGAATTGACCCGGAGACGATTTCGGAGAACTTACATGCCATTTCGGTTGAAAGTCGATCAGCTACAGGGGGCTTGTTCTAAGTCCCTTCAGAGATGAGCTTAGCCCTCTTTCGTGGTACCCTGGCATGTGGGAGCCAATGTGGGAGGACCGTTTCCTAAAACCGACCATCATTGAAGAAGATTCTGATCCATGCTCATCGAAGAAACTGAATCGATACCAAGATAGTCGTGCTGGTTCAAACAGGAGTGCCACAGCCTGTACTGTCAGCCAGTTGGAGGGCTGCAGTCAATTGTGAGGTCGGAACCCTACAATTTCGCCCTGCGATGGCGAACAGCTGCAAGCAGGGCCATGTGATAAAAATAAAAAAAATAAAAAAAAAAACTACAATTGCAATACTCCTCGGAAGTTGTTCTGGTTTGCCAGACTTTTTCTATATGGTTCTGGAAGATTCCATTGATTGAGCCGCTTATTATTATTGAAAGAATACATGATGCAAAAGACATCTCGCCGGCCACTTCAAATGCGTGAGGCCGTACACCAATTCAGCCTGGCGCGGAGGCTGACTGATTTTGAAATTGCCTGAGTGCAGAGTAACAAGTTTCATGGAGTTTCTGGGTGAGTGGGGTTGCTGAAGCTATGCTGAGGTAGTACCTCCTGATGGCCTTGTTGGCGCGCCAGATTCATCCTTTGGTAGTCTGGCTGCACTTCCCTGTAGGGGATCCCTTGGAGCATTTGAATTCGTCTTGAATTGCATGCCCTTGGGGACTGCTGAAGATGTGGTGCCATCACCTTCTCAAGAAGGAAGCAGGCTTTGTTGCAACGTGCAGAGTGGGACCACCTGACGGTCATCTCGTAGTCTCGGCCAGCAGATTTTTCTTGCCCTGAAGCAGAGCCGCCGCTATTTCTTCCTCAAACGCAACCTGCCTTTCTCGACCCGTTCCAAATTGCAATCGCCGCGAACACCACGGATGTCAGAATTGCTCTGACTTGCGACAGGAACATAGCACGTCGTTCAGCCTTAGATCAGTCTCGCCCCCTCCACATCAGAAGTTCAGACGAAGATAACGCCCCTCCTCCTCTGTCTCCCGAGGGGCAGAGTGATTATCGATTTCTGCGCTTTAGGAAGAAAGACGCATCCTCAGTTGCAGTGCTTGGGACTTCAATTGGTCACTGCGTCAGCGGCAGCCATGCCATCGCCATCGCAGTCCGTTTCGCCGGGGCTGATAGAACAGTGCTCAAGGGGCACTCTAAGTCAACGCGCTCAGCAGGACGTAGGCCTCGATATTAGTATCTGTCTCGATGTTAGCCTCTACTTCGTTGTTTGTGCATGATAGTTGAATGGAAACTCACTGATGCGTGTCATATTAGTCTCCTCTGGCCTCTAGCACTGAAGCCACGATCCCGAATTTTGACAACATTGACAACCAGAGCACTCTTGTCGCTACTGTCCCTAGTTCTTTGAGTGCTACTCCCAAAGCCTCCAGTCAAGTACATATGATGCTCGATGCTAGCCCGACTGGGATGGATGTGCCGGCCTTGCCTCACCACCATGTTGGAATCCGTCGCGGTTACGCTAGGGGCACAACTAGAAAAGTCCTGAGGCGTATTCGTACAAGCCTTTCTCTAGCTAGCCTTCCTACCTACAAGGCTTCTGGAGGGCTAGATATCTCTGAAGTCATGGGTAGTCGACAAGCTGGTGCCGGCAGTCCCAACAAACTCCACAATGATGTATTGGCGACTCCTGCGCGATCTGTAGCAGGGAACATTGCTCATAGCAATGTGGATAATTCATTTCAAGCTGAATCACCGCTGAGAACCCCAGTGAATAAGAATAGGGCTGTTGCGGCGTTTGAGGTGGCGCTGTTAAAAGTTGAGAACACTGTGCGTCGGCGTAGGACGGTCAATGGGCCATTGGTTATCGGCACGAATGCAGAAGCAGGCCCTCTTGGCGATTCCCCGGATATAAAAGGGCGAGATCTCGAGTCCGCACCCTCCCAAGAATTATACACCTTTCAAAACACCTGCCCACAATCTCGAATGGCAGGCATTTTCAATCGCAAAGGACAGACCACCTGCCCTTCTGGCACTCCCAACGACAGTAGCTCTTCCAGAGCAGTCTCCGAACCCTGGCCTCCAAGAAGAGAGCCCCAATTTAACCAATACACTTCGCAGGAGGACTTCGAAAAGTCCATAACAGGAGAGGGTACAAAGGCTGACACAACGGCCAGACCAAACAGTCACGGTGGGCCTGTTCGGGTGAGGAAGCACTCATCTGTCACTGCTGAAGACATACGCTCCTTGGCTATGTCTCGCTACGCAGCCAGCAGAAGGGGAAGCAATCTGCAAACGCTTTCCCATCCTCCTCAAATCACAGTCAGTCCAGCACGCAACAATTTGGGGCCCGATACATCAATGACCTCGTCCGGCACGAATGTCGATACTTCAATGCTTTCTCTAACAAATAAGCAGTCGACAAACAAGAGCAGCATCTCTCACAATGGAGAGAATCCAGCCTCAACTGCTCCCCAAGTAAGCAAAAAGACACAAAAAAAGAAACACAACAAGGAAGTAGTCCTTCCTTTTGTGTCACTGGCAGATTCAATAAGCCAAATGGCTAGAGACATAGACAAAAAAGGACGTGTCATGTACTTCGCCACAAATCCAAGTTCCACCTATCCGCTCAATGTACAATCCTCCGTTGGGATCCCTTCTTTTGTGAATCTTCTGACACCAGTCCCTGATGGGTCCGGTCCACCACGATTTGTGGCTCCAGCAACACTTAAAAAAGAGTGGACCTTTTGGCTTCCTGAATTCCCAGGAGGGCCCCAAGTCGAAAGAAATGATGTCCAAGGGACCCTTTATGATATTAGCCAGAGCCAACTGATGGGCCTGGTTGAATGGGAAAAAGCTGAACTTGAGCAAGCGTACAAGCAGATCAAGGGAGTAGGCCTCGTTCCTCCTTACGGAAAGAATATCATCTGCCGTAGTCAAGGCAAGACTGAAGAGGGTGCAAAGTCCGAAAATGATACGAAGAAACCGACGCAATCTTCACAATGGACTAGCAAAGGGCAGACGTTCAAATTGCACCTCAGGCACATACAAGTGGCGGTCTTTGGGCCTGGCACACGCTATGGGTACGTGGAGTGCGTCACTTGGGGGTAGGGCAGCTACCTTCCTCGCGGATGTCATCGGATTCCAATCTTTGGTCTGAATCCAATACGTCGGAATTTAAATAGTCTCAGGACGGATTTAGGTTGTTTTTTACTATCTCTTTTCTTGCTATCTCTTTTCTTGTTTGCTCTACATTGTAGTGATGGAAAAAAAGAGGGGAAAAGATGTAGTGATGGGGAAAAAAGGGAAAAAAAAAAGATGTAGTAGTACGGGAATTTCATGGACATGTACGAGTTGGAGGGAATAAGGTTACGAGTACTTGAAGATGTTATTTTTGCTACTGGGCTTGAAATGTGCCAGGGTGGAAAAAGTGTGGTTGATTACAATATTTTGTGCAGTTTGGAATATACATAGCTAGAAATCGAATGACTTTCCTTTTCTGTCGTGCCTGCATACCCATTCGAGTGTAGTCTATCTAAGATGACTAGCCCAGTCCCTATTCGGCCTAGTACCAATTTGGATGCACAAATTCCGCACCCCAGCACCTGATTAGAGGCTCTATGAGCCTCCCAATCAGTGCTAAGCGCCCTTAACTTGTGCAAAGGAAGCATAAAATAAAACTTTTATTTACGCCATTCATACTAGTATAAAAATAATTATTTATGTCATTTACGGTTTATCGCAAGATAATTAATTTGCTTTGGATAAATACTCTTCCAAGTACACAGGATCAAATTATAAAACGTCAGAACATAATCGCTGTCAAGGTGGTGGAGTGGTTAACACGTTCGCCTGCTATAGTCTGACTCAAAACAGGTCAGCACAAGCATTAGCGGATGCCCTTTGGGCGCGCAGGTTCGAATCCTGTCCTTGACGACTATTTTTTTTCCTTTCTAGGTTTTGTTTTTGTAGGTTTTAATTTTCTATTGATTAGCCTTTTGGAGGGGTCTCGTTCTTTACTATTTTTTGTATGCATGTAGGATGGGATTCGAGACTGTGTGGGTGGATTTGTATGGCGGAACTTGTGGCTACAGGAGGTGCATTCATTTGCCGGGTCGCAGTGAACGCTATGACGTGAATCAGCGCCGCAGGGTATGATGCTGAGTCACGGGAGTTACTTGTATCAATCGCATGAAACTCTCACTACTACACGGTATGTACTTGTTAGTACTCTACTTTTAGTCAGCGTCTAGTCTCGTCAGCGTCTGGTTACGAGACTACTCTACTTTGCAGTTTGAAAATCGAACAACGGGCCTACATTACACCCCCAATGACATCACCCCCTTCCCTTTACAAACCTCCGCCGGTCTCTAAAAAAATAAAAATATCAAAAATCCCCATCATTCAAAGTTACCCGTATTACATATAAATGACGACTCTGTGAGACGTTTACTGGGAACAAATAAGTTTTGATTTATCGAGACTGGTTTGGGGGCCAGGCTACCTAAAAAACTAACTCCGCAGCGTACTAGCTGTGAAGGTAGGATATGGGGTACTGTCGGTACGGGTAGCTTTGTTTTATATCTTTACATGAGGGAAGGAAGTCAAGAGGGTTGCGGGGGTAGCGGGAGAGAGTTGGGGAATATTATTGGTGTAGTGTACTATTTGAGGATTTTTGGTCTCGAGCCGGATGTGTTTGCCAGGATGTTGGTGTGATTGCTTGTTGGAGACGTTGAAACAGTGTGTTCAGTTGCAATGCTGAGGTGGCTTCGTCTTGGGGGAGCTAGGTCATGGCATTAAGACACGAGATCACTACCAGATCACTAGTCTCGTAAGCAGCCAGATTCTTTGGCGGAAGCCGTGTCGCTTCACAAAAGTGCGTAAAATATAACGTCGATAAATGTATCATAGCCAGAAAGAAGAAAAAAAAAGCCAAAAAATGATAGTCCGTCAAGGACAGGATTCGAACCTGCGCGCCCAAAGGGCATCCGCTGGCTTTTTCTTTTTAGGGAAATAGCAGGCGAACGTGTTAACCACTCCACCACCTTGACTGAGTTGTTGTTTCCTCTGTTTTAATTACTATGAAGAGCAAAACTTAATGAATGTTTTACTTGTACCACAGGCTTGGCGTGTGGGTTTGAGGGTAATGGGGAAGACAAGGTAGATGTAGGATTATGTTTTTCTTGTTTTTGTTTTGTTTTGTTCAGTACTCGTGTGCAGCCTCCTCCTCAATTACAGTACTGGGAATCCTCAACTCGCTTTGAACTCCACATGTTCACCGCCTTCGTCAGACGCACGCCCTCTCCTGAGCCAGCCAAAGAGCCATGCCGGAGTTCAAGCAACTGTAATCACCACACCCATCACTCCTGCAGTCATCATCATCACGCACGCAGGACATCCGATGCGGGCCCACCACCCCCACCACCGCCCTACACCTATGCCACCGCCGGCACCTTGCAGCCTCTCTACGCCCAACCTCCAGGCTCAGGTGCAGTAGCCATGCAGCCAGTTTTCCGATACTACGCCCCTACGGGCGGGAATGTGGCGTACCCAATGGCCTATACACACACTACAACCGTCAACGCCGCACATCCCTATTATGCGCAACAACAGCCGCACAATCGAGCGGTCTCTAACCCTCTCCCGTCTAGCCAGAATCGTGGCCATGGCCATTATTGCCAGTACAGTAATGTTAGCGTCCACCAGTGCTACCATCACTGCCCTCACAAGTGCGCGGTTACGTCTTCCTGCTGCAGATACCACTGTCCCTCTTGCCCGGGCTGCGAATACAATAAGTGCTGCATCAAGTGCGAGGGCAACAAGCAGAAGGAGGAGAAACATAAGATACCATGTGGTTGCGCGGATTGTAAGAAGTGCTTGAAGAGGAAGAAGAAGGAGCAGGAGGATAGGTGGTGGAGTTTGGCGGTGCCAGGGAAGGAAGGGGTGCTGGTGGGAGTTGCATGTATTATTACTTAAAGCTTCAGTTACGTTACAGAGGTGTATGGTCGATCATGGTGGTTGGCAGTGGATGCGCATATGTATTTTGTACAGACGCGCAAAGAGAGAGCTGGAATGGGGAGGCATGGGAAGTGGGCATATATGCACGAGATGAGACAACAGCGTTGATGCGGACAGGGCTATGGGCTTGGGATATCGTCGATCTTTAGAGATACCTCTTATAGCTATAGACGAGCATCTATCACGCGCAGCTATAGTCTCATGTTACTGCAGTTTTACATCTATAGCTCTGGTATATTGTGTAACAACTTACAAGTACAGCTAAATTAACTCATGAGACTAATACAAATCCAGAACTGCCTAGACCTCATCCTTCAACCTCCATCCGTCTTCCCATTACTATTGAGGGCAGCCCGATCAACACCATTCCAACTCAATCATTCCTTCTGGAATTCCCCTCGTTCATGTCATCCTATCTCCCACTACATCCCGCCACTTCCCTCCTTCCATACCTCCCGGCTCGGACCCATTCCTTCCTTGACTCAGCCCAATCAAATTTACAGCAAACAACGCCAAAATTCCCCAAAAACGCCAAAGACAAAGAACACATCAAACTCCAAATGATTCAAATCGACCTAAAAGACAGAAAAAGAGAGGCAAGAACATTACTATATACCCTGCGCTGCCCGTTTTCACCTGTCATCTAACCTTTGCCCTTTCCCTTTCCCTTTCCCTTTCCCTTTCCCTTCCCTTTTCCTTTTCCAGCACTTCTTCCAACAACCCTCTCATTGCCCTTTCCAAGCACTTTTCTCGGCCTGCCTCGTCCCCGCTTTGAGGCCGGTGCAGGGGGAGGCACCTCTTTGGCTCCCATCTTTGCGGCGGCTGCGGCAGCGGCGTTCCTCGCAGCCACCCTCGCAGATCGACGCACGGGAGCATCTACAGGGCGGGCAAGTTGCCGCTTGCTTTGCCGGCGCGGCCGAAGAGTGGGAGGGGGCGGTACATACACCGAACCCAGCTGGGACTCAGGTTCTAAAGGAGGTGCTGGCGCCGGCATCAGGGTTTGAGGTTCTGGCCGCGGTGCCTCTGGAATAGCTTGGGGTGGGCGAAGACGGAGCTTACTTCGCGGAGGGTTACCAGGCGTGGCAGAAATGGGGGCATATGTGCTAGGGCCGGCAGAGGGCGAGCGGTTGACGTATGTCCACATTGGTCCTCGAGAGCCGGTGGGTGGAAGGCTTGCGGAGCTTGAACTACTCCTGGATGGCTGTGCCGAGGTACGAACGGGAGGGGGTTCTCTGGAGGAAATCCCACGCGCCCTTGGATAATGGGATGATGTACTGATGGGGCCTTCAGTCCGTGCACGCTTGGGGCTGCGTGGATTTACGACTTCTTGGGAAGAAGTGGAGGGGGCTTTAGAAGCATGGTCCAAAGCCGTGTCAGTGAAAGATGCCAGCTCCTCGCCTGGTGAAGTAGCTTCCAGCTCCTCCGAGCTGCGCTTACGAGGGGCTGTTGACTGCCCTGCTGATGCCACAGGAGGCGGTGAAGCATCTCTTCCTCTCGCAGTGTCCGGCCACCTCTCCAGGGCTGTTGGCCTGCGCCTGCCTCTTCTTGATCCAGAGGCCGTTGAGCTACCGTATCCGCTGCGGAAAACCCTCTGCACAGGCCAATATCTTCCCTCCTTGAACAGCATCTCCTTCTCTAGCAATTCCTTGCACTCCTCCCGTTCCCGGTAATTCCGGAGCATGTCAGCTCCATGGCCAAAGATCTCTTCCTCCCTCACCCATATCCATGGCCGATCAGGATTATTGGAGGGCAGCTGATCTTCCCTTCTCGCCAAATATAACGTCTCCAGCTGCGGCTCACCTGCGGCGGACGTCCTCTTGGCTATATACCAACCTCGGATGATACCCGTCTCTATGCGGGTGCCCGGTTGAACACCCCTGTATAGATCCCAATTCTCCCATGAAGGAGGAGGAACCATACGCAACGCTTCCTCAGGGCACCAGATTGCCTCTTGCTCCTGCAGTGGCTCCTGCGCACCATTGTTGCCAAGGTTGGGTGACTTTATCAGTTGCACGAGATCCACATCCACTCTTTCAGCAATTGGGCGCCATCGGGGTGTGTCCTCCTGCTCTAGTAGACGTTCCAGTGCCCTGTCCTGCTCAACTACAGGTCCGAAAGGCCTCGCCAAGAGCTGGCTTGCAACGTGAATATCTTGATCTTGCAAGACCCGCCTTACCCGGTAGGGTCCATTTTCCTGCCTGAACTCGTCCGGGTTGAAAAAGCAGGTTGGACATTCTAGCACTGGTAGAGCGGGTAACAGTGGCGCAGTCTCGCGTTCCTCAGCGGAGCCATCAGATGGGAGCATGATGTTGGAGAGGACGAGAGCGCCCTCGACAACCGTTAGTGGCTGTAGTGGCCCAGGGCGGTGGCTGTAGCCTCCTGCATATGGACCATATTCGTTCTCGTCGCCCGCAAAAGCAGTCTCGCTGCCTTCGCCGTCTCCAGAAGGATGGAAGTCGTACCTGTAGAAGTCGTACTCGTCTTGGCTTTGATTTTCCTCGGCCGGAGCGTACTCTTCTGTAGTCGCTTCTGAGCCCCGATTCGGGAGTGGGGACACTGGTGGTGCCGACGGGGATGGGGAACTGTCTTCTCTGCGACTGGGTATATTGGCTGGTGCTGGGGATGAGCGTTGGCCGGTACCAGAGCTTGAGGCATGCCTTCTGACAGGAGAAGCGGGGGCAGGCGATGGTGTATAAGGAACTCCTTGGCGGTCCTCAAGGCTTGAGGACTCAGAATTTAGTAGGGACCTGAGATCCATTTTCTCACTTCTTGTTCGATGTGCTGAATCTGGAAACTTGGTAAAGTGGAGTGGGCGTATGTGACTGAAGGACCCTTTGTTCTTTGCACCACCGACTGACAGAAAAAAGTTCTATAGGTCTGACGGGTTGACTGGTTGCTGGCTAGATTCACTTTGATATGTGATAAATAGAATGGTGAGCTATATTCTTTTGAAACCGCACAAATGTGATTTGCCCTTGATTAGTGATTACCGTCCAGCAAACGGACAGGGCTGAAGATAGGATCTGTTGCCGGGTCTCGGGCTCAGGGAGGCAATTATGCTGACAACAACAAGTCGACCAACTGAATTGTTAGATACCCAATGTTCAATCAGAAATCGTATGTGCGTCTGTACAATCAATTTTTGCTCAGAACATACCACGCTGAAATGAGGAATGAAACGGACGCAATACGAACCTTGCAAGATAAGCGCCTCTATATATAATTATATCCACCTGTTCCACCAAGTCGTGCAACTTGACAAACTTGCTTAAGGTTGACTGTTCCCTACAGATAGATTGGTAAGTATTTATCCATTCTCATGATGTCCTGCAGTTGGTAGTTATTACCTATTGAAGGGTTAAGGTTTGAGGAGATTCTGGGTAGGAGGGAGCTGATTTGCTGGGGAGATTGAGAGATTGGATTTGAGTTTGGAGGCGGTTTGAGAAACGAAGCAGTTGGTGGTACAGAGGTAGAGAGGGCAAATGAGAGACGGTGTTGACGTGGAACACGGAACTTAGAGGCGGAATGAAGGTTAGTTGATACGGTGAGAAGCGCCGAGAGGTAACGAAGCAGCGTCTTCGGCGAAGGAGAGGCGGGCTGTGGAGAAATCTGGATCGATAAAGGTATATAAGGAGGTTGGTAGGCGGCGCTGTGTCTCTACTGTTACGGAAATCTATGAGATGTTAATTTTTCGACACAATATATATATGGCTACAAGATCTGATTCAATGAATCAAACAGGCCAGTCCAGGCCAGGCCATGAGGGCCGCCTGGACCGGCCCAGGCAACCTGAAACAATCAGGCCAACCAGGCCAACCAGGCCAACCAGGCCATTTCCGTAAATTCAAGCGATTTTAGAATTTAACGCAGGTGAATTAGATTTTAATAGCCCTGGATATTTCCACTATTAGTAATTGACAGTTGCGTATTAGGTATCATCATCGAAGAATTGAGTCCCGTCTGTTGTATTATCTGGAAGGTCCATCATATCTCGCCATAGCCCCCAGGGCGGATTGCGAGTAATGTAAAAAAA